GATCTGGCAACTCCTTTACACCATACTTGGACATATCAAGCATTGGTGCATGATGTACTGGTAAGAGGCTAAATATAGCACTTATTACTGAAATGTAGTAATATGCAGTGGTCCCCTTAATTTAAAATTAACATCATGGCTACAGAAACATAGATGAGAAGGATGGAGCTGAAAAATATGAACCAAAGAAGTGATGGAATTTGGTATCATAACTGGATGTGGATGCTAGTGAAGCACTAAAGTTTAAAGTTCAAAATTTATGATCTTTAAATTTAGGATAAATTAGTGTTATTGGCAATGATGAGAAAAAAGGAATGGAGGAAAATGAGTAACAATGTTTGTTTTTTTAATTTTTCATACTGAGTAAGTAAATAAATGTGTTCTCCCTGGGGAGAAAAGCTATAATTTCATCCTTTTCTCAGGAAATCGATTAAACCTCATATTATGGTAAAAATAAATAGTGTTTTTTATGTTATACCATGGTTTTCCGAAGTAATTCCACATATCTAATTTCATGCTCAACAAAAATTTGTATTTATTTATGCATACGTTTATCTACTAATTATTGTGTTTAGCATATGATATATACACAGATTTTAAAAACAGCCCAATTTTCAAAGGCTTTGGAAAGAAAATATGTACACAAATAATTTCTTTACAAGGCAGACATTACGTAATAGGGCCAGAACGGACAGAAAAATTGAGACACAGAAGTTAAAGAATTTAAACCCAAGTCATTGGCTTTGTTAAGACTAGCACTGTAATTACTAACTCCTAGCCCAGGCCTGTGAGGATTATAGTATGTATGTGATAATGTTGTTATTGCAAAGATTGCTTGAACTGTCGTATAAAAAGGAAATAAAATACATGCAATAAATGATGTGTTTTAAGTTTATTTCTTTAACACCCAGATATTAGCTTTGAAGTGTTTATTTAAATAAATCAGATTTAGGATTACTGATGAAAATTGAAAGTTTTACATACTTTATCCTAGAGTCCTGTGCCATGACTTAAGGATGAGTGTCAAAGAAATGGTAGTGAACTCGGATTCAGTAGGGAGGGCAGGAAGACTCAAAGGGACCACTGAATTAAACCCTGAGTAATAGAACATGGAAGCTGGTTTTAGGAGGTCGAGTAAGAGGCTGGAGAAGAGGAATTCAATTCAGCCAATATCTGAGTACCTTTTTTTTTCCTAATTTATAAAGCAATAGAATTTATTTCTTAACAGTTTTGTAGGCTGGAGAGTCCAAGGTTGGAGGGGTGCGTCTGGTGAGAGCCTTCTCCCTGGTGGGGACTGTCTGTAGAGTCCAGAGGTAGCACAGAGCATCACATAGCAACAGGGCAAGAGCATGTTCGCATGAGTGCCTATTCCTTAACAGATATTATAGACTCTGGTTTTGACAATAACAAAGGGAAGTATTCCTGTCTTTTGGAACTTACTTTCTAGTAGAGACAGACAACAAATAAACAAAACATACAACATTTTAGAAGGTAGAAAGTATTCTCTGGAGGAGAATAAAGTAGGTAATAGTGAAGAGGATTAGAATTTTGAAATGGAGAAGACCTCACGGATAAAGTGACATTTGAGGAAATGTCTAAAGGAGGTAAGGTAGTGAATTATATAGCTATACAGGAAAACAACATTCTAGGCACAAGGATGCCTGATATGTTTGAAAGATGGCAAGGCAACCAGGTGGCCATAGAGAAGAGAGACAAGGGGAGAGTAGCAGGAAATAAGGTTAAATAGGACACAGGAAGCAATATGGTACAGGACATTATGGGCCATTGTAAGGATGTTGACTTTCAATTTGAAGGAAATGGGGAGCCACATGTAGTTTTGAGTAAAGGAGTGACATCTGATATACAATTTAAAACCTTCACTCTAGCTCATGTGTTGAAAATAGGCTCCTTAGGAGTGTAGGAAGAGCAAAGAGATCAGTTAGGAGGCTGTTGGAATTATCATAGCAAGAGATAATGGTGTGGTGACGTTGGTGTGGGATCTAAGAGAGGAGTCAAAGGTGACTCCAATGTTTTGGCTTTTGCAAGTGGAAAGCTGATGTGATGTTTATTGGGTTGGAAAAGACATGGAAGTAGCAGTTTCGGTGGGAAGATCAAATGTTTAGTTTGGACGTGTTAAATGTGAGATACCTGTTAAAATATCCAAGTGTAGATGTCGAGTACGTAGTTCGATATATGAGCCTGGCATTCAGGAGAAAGATCTGGTTTAGAAAAAGAAATTTGGGTTAGCATGTCTATAAATGGTATTTAAGGTCAAGAAACAGGATCAGATCACCAAAGGAATGAGTATAGATAGAAAAGAGAATAAGTCCAAGAACTGAATTCTGAGGCACTTCCAACATTTAGAAGTCAGGTTGATGAATAGGAACCAGCAATGTAGTGTAGGGGGAAGGAGCAGCCAGTGAGGTATGAGAACTAGATCTGTGTTCTTTTTGGAAGCTAGTGAATTAAGTGTTTCAAAGAGGAGGCAGGGATCAACTGAGGACTAAGAAGTCATCATTACATGTGGCAATGTCAAGATCGTTAGTGACTTTGGTAAAAGCTGTTTCCATAGCATAGGGGCAAAACACTGAAGTGGATTTAAGAGAGATTCAAAGGAGAAACATAAGAGAGTGAATATAGTCAAACCTTAAAACT